GAAATGACAACCATAATTTTTTAAAACACAAATTATTGGGTGCCACACCCGCACCCAAGTGTTTGTGCGGCAGGCTGATTTCTTTTCCTTTCTCTTTCTCTCTCTTTCTCTCCTCCCTTCTCTTTTTCTCTCCTCTTATCCTCCTTTTTGTCAGCAAAGCTAGTACCATTGATAAGATTTTGCAAGTAAATTTACATTTCTAATACTCAATTTCGTTTTTTTTTTTTTTTGTGTGTTTTGTGTTGGATTGAGGTTAGACTTTGAGGTTCAATTCGTCGGGGGTGAGTAAGGCGGCGGAGACTCCGTTGGTGGAGGAGATTGTAATGGCAGGGCTAACAACGGCGGCGACTGCAGTGGTTGCTTTTTCCGGTGAGGATGAGGTAGACCAAACGACGTCGCACTTGTTGAGTTCTTCTTCTTCGTGTGTGTTTGGGGTATTTGTTGAGGGTTGGTGGGTTGAATGAAGGGGTATTTGTTTTGTATTTTTTTCTGTGAGGAAATCCAAATTGCTACTTTCTCTTTTTTTTTTTAGAAAGAAAGAGAAGAAGAGGGGAATAGAGGAAAGAGAGAGAAATGATTGTGAGTATGTTGTTAATATTAGCCAATAAAAAAATATATATTACCATTAGAATGAACATATCAACTAATTACTGTCTTATATCAGTCAACATTAGGAACATATAAGACATTAGTAAAAAAAAAACATATCAGCCAACAAGAGGAGTATATCAGCAAAAAAAAAAGATACATATAAGCCAATAAGAGGAGTATATCAGCCAACAAAAGATACATATAAGTCAATAAGAAGATTATATCACCACTAAACTTTTGGCAAATTGCGACCGTTTTTCTATGACCGTCATTAAAATGGTCGCAAAATATGAAATTTGCGACCTTTGTGGGCTATTAAGCCGTCGCAAAGCTATATAAATATTATTTTTTAAAAAAATATGAGTGCAAAATAATTCTAAATAAAAATAAATTGTTTACGACCTCTTTTAACGGTCGCAAATAGCACAAATTGCGACCGTTTAAGAGTCGGTCGCAATTCTTCTACCGCTTTAACCAGTCACAAAATGATTATTTTAAAAAAAAAAGTATAAACTGTTAGCTAACTCACCCTAACCCTAATTTCAAACAAGAACGCCGCTCCCTTTTCTTTCTCTCTCTCTCTCCCTTTTTCCTATTTCCTTTCTCTCTCTCCTCTTTCCTTTATTTTCTTCTCCTCCTCCCTTTGTTCTTTTTTTCACCGGCAATCTCTTCTTTTATTGTGTTCGTATCTCACAAGGTGAATCCGCTCCATTTTTGTTTTTACTTTCTTCTTCATTTTCTCCAAATCTAGAGTTTTGTTGATCGAATTTTCGTCAACAAACGAATTATGGTGTTTGGATTTTCTTCAACAAGAGAATTATTGTTTTTGTGGTCAAATTCGACCATGAAAGTTCCATATCTGGAGTTTTTATGGCTGAATTTGACCATGTAAACCCAAAGACAAATTTGTGTTTGAATTTTCGATTGATTTTTGTTCTAATTGTAATTTGATTTTTGTTCAATTTTTTTTTTCGGATTTTTTGGCCTTATTTTCGGTTGATTTTTAGGTTGATTTTTTTGGTTTAATTTGTTTTGTTCATTGTTATGGTTTGAATTTTCAAGGTATAAGTTTTGTGGGTTTAATTTTGTATGTTGAATTTTTTTGTTGTAATTTTGTGTGTTTCATTTTTGAGTGTAATCTTTTGGGTTTAATGTTTGATTTATTTTTGTGGGTATTTTAATAGGTTTAATTATTTGATAAATTCATAGTTTTTTTGGATTATAGGTGGTTATTGGTGGCGTTACTGGTGGGCGGTAATGGTGGTTTATGGTGGAAATTGGTGGTGCGGCTGGGTAGGCAGTGGGGTGTGTTTGGGCTAATTATATATATATAATTTTAGCGACCGTCTTTGGCGGTCTCAAATTGTCAGTTTCGCGACCCACACAAAAAAAGCAGTCGCAATTATTATAAATTGCGATCGTTTCATACACGGTCATTGAAAATGAGAAAACGGTCGCAATAAAATCTGCAACCACAATTAGTCGTAATTTTGGAATTTTGCGACCATGTAAATAACGTCCACCTTTATTTTCAGCGACTGAGCGGTATTTTTAGTAGTGTATCAGCCAACAAAAGATACATATAAACCAATAAGAGGAGTATACCGGCCAATAAAAGATTCATATAAGCCAACAAGAGGAGTATATCAACTAACAAAATATAAATATAAGCCAAAGCCAACAAAAGGTATTTATCAACCAGCACAAGGAACATATAAATCAGCCAACAAATTAAGCGTATTAGCCAACAAAACCAATAGGTAAGCCAACAAAATAAACATACCAGCCAACAAAATAAAACATATAAGCCAACAATTAAAATACACATATCAGTCAACTAAAGAAACATAAAGCAAAATAATGTTTGATATCAGCCAACAAAAAGAACTTATCAACAATTTTAAAAAGTATATCAACCAACAAAAAGAATACAAACCTAAAAATCATATCAGCCAAAATATGAAACATATAAGCCAACAAGTAAAACATTAATCAGCCAAGTCATCAGCACGCAATAGCCTGAATTATTTTAAAAAGTATATCATCCAACAAAATAAAACATATAAGCCTCTCTTTTTAAAATAATCAGTTTAGCTTAATGATATTTTAATTATTAGGTTACGTCCCGTGCCATGCATGGTTATTGACAAAAAAAATTATGTACGTATATACTTATCAGTGATCATATATTGTAATATCTTGTTTTTAGTCATTAACTTTTGTCTATCTCAATTGTATCCTTGAAACGGATATTATGTCTGCCACATAAAAACATATAGTAGAAAATTGTATTTTTTAAAAATATTTACAAAGATTATATTTTGCTATTCTATTTTCCATATTAATTAGTTAATTAAATGTGAATATAAAAAAAGGTAAATATCATTTCTATTTATATAGTAATTAAATTTTACAAATAATTTCCTTAAATAAATTTTCTATTTATTTTTTTTAAATACTAAGGACACACCAGAAATTGCATGTGTCATTTATGGTGTGTCTTTTAGTATATAGTTATTGATTTTTAAATGATAATATCAATTACAATTAAATTATTTCCTAATAAAAAAAAACTAATTTTTTTCTAATTTTTAAACATTTTTAATCTTTTTAATAATATAAATTGATTTTCATAAATTAATTTGGAAAAAAAAAATTCAATAATTAGAATAATTAATTTTGAAAATTTTAATGAATTTCAAAAATAAGGAAAATGAATTTAATTAAATTTAACATTTAAAAACAATTCAAAAACAAATTTTCACCATATTCCCCTCAGTATTTTTTTTATTTATCATATACCCATGAAAATTTTCAAATTCACCATATACCCTTGAGTTTGACCAAAATGTCACCAAATGCCCTTAACCTGACTAACGACGGTAAACTCCATAGCATTAAGGCTAAATAGGCCACGTGACAACTTCATTCTTATTAGTTTTTTTTTAAAAAAAATTAATTAATTTTAAAAAACTAAAAAATAATATTTTAAAACCATTTAGCCAGCCACCTTTCCCACCATGAACAACGCCATTACCTTTTGCATCAAGGAAAGGTTGCACAACAGTAGTAGGGGCGTATCATATATATATATATACACACACACACAAAGATTCCCCTTGAGATTTTGATATTCTTACCTTCATTGGCAATCAGACTACCCCCAACCCTGATGTTGGCGTCTCCTACACACCGCCTCTTCGCCCCGTCGTTTCCCTACCCTTGAACCACTATTCCCTCGCCTAAACCCCCTCCCCCATTTCCGCCCAAACCAAAACCCATCACCCAGTGCCCTTCACATTTCAGACCCGAGCCCAACTTTATCCTTCCCCCTCGACCAGCGCCGTACGTCGTTTCCCTCCCCCTAAACCACGAGCCCCGACCTCGAAACCCGCTTCCTTCCTACGCAAAACCCTAGAGAAACCCCTTCCCCACCTTTGAAACCCCCCAACTGCCCTTCCTCAACACCCTCGGAATCCCTAGCTGCTAGGGATTTCAAGGATGGGGGAGGGGTGGGCATATGATTAGTTTGTATTGAGATTTATTATTAGTTAACAGCCCTAAAAAGATGATTAAAAGTTACCAATAATGCTTGTTATGAACATTGCAAAATATTATGATTTGAACAATTAAGATGTAAATCCTGTTAATCTCTTCATGGGTTAGATGAATGCATAATATAATATTAAAAAGTCTTTGCTCCATTAAGTCGTCAAGAATCAAGATGCTTATGTCTAAGGTTCAATTCTCATTGTTCTTTTTACCCTTTTAAGTCCTTATAGACAAGAACCATTTCAATGATATTATACTTTCCCTTCAATAACATTATTAAACATTAATCACCAAACTTTACCTTTTCACTCTCTCACATTATTAATATAATATTTCTAATTATGTTCTTTGTCTTTTGTCCCTTAATAATTGTCTCAATTTCCTTTAAAAATCATCCTTTAAAGATTAAATTATACCATGAACGTACATTAGAGACCACAACTGAAAATTACTTTAGGTCTTACAATTTTTTTTCTCCTCAATTTCACTCAACCAAAACTATAAAGTAGATATGGTTACGGAGCAAATAATACGTAAAGCATATAAAATTTGGTATTTTGAAAATACATATCAAGACTATTAGATGAATCTATAAAGGTCTAACAATTAGACGAATCTAGTAAGAAACTTGTATTTTCTAAGAGTTAATTGTCTTGATTATTTCCTAGGTTTTGTAAATGTCACACTTCTAATTCCTTAAATGGCATATATAGAAAAGATATTGTGTGTAACTGGACTCGTCATCCGGGAGTCCAATCACTAGGTACCAACAATTTAACAGCTTGTTTGGTAGCTTGTGTACACTGTACAACGTGCATATTTCATGCAAAATGTACAATTTGGTGCAGCAAAGAGAATTTTTTTTTTTTTTTTTTTTGTGTTTAGAGAGCCACAAGCCCACAAGGGTGGGGTGAGAATCAATCCCAATATCTCTTAGAACCTGGAGGGAAGTTCTAATCATTTGAGTTATCCCTCACTCTTAGCAAAGAGAATTAATAATCATTATAACGCTTTTTTTTTTACAAACACTATAACGCATATTACTAAAACAATTCAATTGAGTAGGGTTTCGCACCCAAAATAAAAATAAAACAAAGGCTTCCAAAGGTTAAAGTTCCTCAACGCGCTCTTGAAAATTTTGGCTAAATCTAAATATGTCCCTTTCAAATTTCTATTCTTAAACTCTATCTCCCAATCCTTCATCTACTTGTCTTTCATCCTGTTAATTTCTTTCATTTCCTATTTTCTCCTATTTATGTAAAAGGCTTTAATCCTAACAAGATCTTTGGAGAAACTTCATAGGGTACAATATTTGCATATGAAAACTATCAAAATTAAATTTTTACAAAAAATAAGCACTGAAGCTCTGAAGGATCATGACTTTGCAGCAAGGGCAATGTGCTAGAGACGCCTAGAGTAACAACTCGACTCAACCATCCACAATCTTAGGACCTCTATATGGCGCCCCAAAAACTGTCAAGCCGCGAGGTTTCTCTCTCTCTTGAAGCCATGCAAGACGATCCTTTTCCTGTTCAAGCCCATATAGGCCATCTACTGTGACAAATGAATTAGATAAGCTGTATTATGTTACCATTAAAGTAAATTGCAATAATTATTTTTAAAAAACCTAAGGCATCGAAACAGCTTCTCAAATAAACTTCAAACCCTCATACACATGAAGCAAACTAGCACTTAATTAAAGGGGACAATCATTTACAACTTTTATAAAAAATAAACACTCCAAATAACTTCTTGGTCACTAAATAGCAAATTAAGTAAATGAATTTATTACTTAATTTAATGAGCTAAATGGCTAAAATTTCAGGAGTGAGAAAGTTAATTCAAAATATAGAGGAACATTTTAGTTTACTGTTCATCTCATCACCCACGAAATTGATTTTGGGATACTAGTTAGTCAATTAAAAAAGAAGACTAGAGTTGAAAGCTCTAACAATTCAGATTCCCATTAACCAGCATAACCCTATTTCATAAACTCTTGATTCTGTCATGAAATATTTTCACATGCAGCTGTGGTAACAGTCACAACAATCACATTGGATCATGTACGTTTATAGGAAATGACCATGATGCACAAGGTAAACAGCAAGCTCCTGCTAAAGTAATAACATAACACCAAAGGAAAAAGATCGGGTTTTTCTAGTACTACCTCCTGTTACTAGATGTTCTCAACAATTTCCTCATTAGTACTTTACTAAGTGCTTAAACGCTTTTACTTTATTCCATTTTTTATAATCCCCATTTACTACCTTACCTTTTCTTATCCGATTATCCCCATAATATTTAGATATTCTTTACAATTTCCTTATTTGTCCATTACTAGAAGTTTAATCACTTTATTCCATTTTTAATAAATTCCTTTTACTATTTTACCTTCCCTAACCTCCACAATATTTACACTAGTCTACTCACTTTCACTTGCTTCTTCATCATTTTTCTTACATAAATCCACCTTTTAGTTTCTTTCTTACTTTATCCTCTTTTCTTTTACACTCACCACATCAACATTCTCCAATTGCCTTAACTACCATAAAAATATAAGCAATAACTTTTTGACCAAAAAAAATTAGCAAATGTATCTATAGTGTTGCTAACTAGTGAACAATACCTTCTAATTTTCCTTAAGGTTAGACCACTACCACAAAGAAATATTTAGCATTGGGCAAAAGAAGGTCCATGCAGCATCCCGTGTCCAAAGGGCTTTTGTATAAGGGGTGTGACCGAAAATAAAACTATTAGCTGACTCATTCCAAGCATGGTATCTAGGCTCTTTAACAATTAGGTGTTAATATCAAGCCACTGGTTAAGGGACTTTTATTAGATGTTCATTCCCTAATGGGAATTATAAATGTGTGCCTTATAGCGTGCTCTAATTCTAAGGGATCACGTGTGGGCAAATGTGAAGGGGAGTGTTAAATCCGCATTATTGTCCACATGTGATTCGTCTCACACCAGAAAAACAGATAAAATATAACCTTAAAAGCTTAAGGAATTACTCTTGCTATCACCATTTGGTTTTAGTATAAAATCTCAAACTTCATAATATCTAACACCACAAGTTTGAAGATTTTGAGATAGGAGGTTAGAGTAGTTGGCTAGTTCCCTGACTTTCAGGCGTGAGGCCAGGTGTCGAATCTAATCTCATCAAGTACATTCTAGGAGGGATTTTTCTTACATCGCCCCTTATAGGATAGACATTCTTCTTACCATTAAAATTAAATATAAAAAAAAAATAATAAGTTATGTTTTGTATAAAATGGACTAAAAAAGTTTTCAGTTTGTTCACAATGATCTATGAAAATAATTACTCGCATACAACATCATTACAAGCAGAATAGCTATTTTTTTATATTATAACAGTAAAAATTGTTAGGTCACGAACACCTAAATCACTTGTTATGTAGGGATAAAAGCTATATTCTTATTTAAGTATATTTTTAATCATTGTTACGATAATAAATTTAAATTACACTTCCGTCTACTTTGGTAGTTTTTTTTAGCTAGTAAATAATGATAATCAAACAAAGTATAATTAATACAATACATTAATACTAAATGGGATGTATTAATTAGTAATAACTAAATCGGTTGTTCCTATTATTATTTTCTATGTTGAATATAAAGGATGTTTACGTTCTTTGTTAAAAAAAAAAACTAGTGGTTAAAAAGGGTTGAAGACTGCCAAAGGTCATCTTCTAAAATACCCACCAAACAATTCTCCACAAACTACTAAAACACTACATAGTATCAAATAATATTTCCTCGGTTTTTCCAACTTCTCACTTTCCATTTTCATCCATTTTTCTAAGTTCCATTCACTTTGCTTTAGTTCATTCCTTTATGAAAACTATTTTTTTCATTTTGTTATCACCATATCCCCACTTTGTAGGGCCTAATTTATTTAACAAAACTCTACTCTTTATCTCTTTACCCATGCATGGTCCCTATTTTCACTTTTTCTAGGTTTGCGTAGTTACTGAGTAGAAACTCAAGAAAACGGAGGAGTGTAATTAAGAATGTGATTATGATTTCATTAGCAGAAAATCTATAATTTTGGCAATTCAATTCAAACAATAAATTCTGTTACAACTTCAGTCGTGATGCAATCAATATTTTTTTTTTTAAAAAAATCGTTATAATTTCCGGTGAAATATATATACTATTGATTTTTCACTACTAACAAGACTAAATGGTTAATAGAATAGCCATCCAACACAATATTAAATGGCTAACTACATAACATACAATAAACATAACAAATGATTCAGTACTTCTCCATTTCAAAGACCCAATTCAGCTTAAATATCGCATATTTTTAAGATATTTTTACCATTTCATAGTGGTGACAGTATAACCACAAAGCAGGTACCTGATAAATGATCGAAAGGATATTCCTTATAGTATGTACAGTGCCGACCATCAGGATCAGAGTATGGAGGGCCCAGAACATCAAGAACTGCACATGCTGTCATAGCTGTAAAACAATGCATATTCCCACCTGCTACTGGATAGAGGATAGAAGTGTTGCAAGGGGCAACAAAATCTTCATTAACAGTAAGCTTTGCCAACCTAGCCGAAGGAGCATCTGTCAACCATCATATCAAATGAGTTCATCAACCCTTAGTTTGTCAAAGATAAAAACAACATGCTATTATTCTTATATAAATAAATGAATAGGGAGAAAACATATAATTTTGTGACATATTGGGATCAGCAAAAAAGAGAAATAAACATTTTAAAAACAATTAAATCTCTAAAATCATGATTATGAGTTTATGACAAATGAGGAACTAGAATAAAGAGAGCATATATACTATATCTGATGTACATGAACTACAATTGAACTTGGTGTGTGTGTTCTAACAGTTGTACACCGTTCTTTGAACTATGACTTTGAACTTTTTTGAAGGCGGGCTGAAAAGCTGATATTTCCTAAAGGCAAAATGCAAGTGACAAGAGTAGTGCTAGTGTATATAAAGCACTACTTTAAAGAAAATCTTACCGTCTGAAACAGTGGTGGTGTAAGGATCGCCTTTTACCCAATCATATGATTTGATATGCATGGTCCCAAAGAGAAGTTTGCTGAAAACAGTCATTCCTGGATGGTTATGAAGGGGCAATACACCTGACGGCGGCAAGCAAAATATTCCAATCTACAATATTAAAACAATTAATCAAACTAATTGCACCACTTTATTAAAGAATCTAAAGATAGATCGATACAATGAGTACAACGAACCATACCGAAAACTTGTCACATTCATATAGGTGCAGGTAAGTTATGATAGGAGCTCGACTATTCCCAATCCTAATGGATCTAAAGTATGGCAATTCTGGGCTTAATCCAACATCATTTTGTGTCAAGATATCTGTAGACACAAATCATTTAATAGTGAGATTCTCAAGGAATTCTACTATAGAGTTTAATACTAATATATGACTGAAAAACCCTTGACTTATTGCACTAAAATTTTTTTTTTTTTTTTAAAAGTAGAAAGATGTTCTTGCTTCAAGAACAAACTCAAGAAAGGTCATGGAATAAAAACTTAAGTAGTGAAGAATAAGATTATTCTACAATACAACCACCATCAGCAAGAAAACATACATGCATCCATATTTAAACACACAATAAGGCCACGCAAAAGAACAACTATGTTTTCCATGAGGCTTAAGCTATTCAGAAAAAATCCAACCCCAACTTTACGAAGATAAGATTCATTAGGATGTTCAAAACAGCAGTAAGGTGGCCAACACCGATCTGACCCGACTCAGAAGGAAAAAAATAAACAAATTCGGATTTCGGTTTGGCTCAAAAATTGAGCATGACTCAAATTCAAAATAAACCTAGCCCAGCCCAACTTTACCAAACTCAACCTATACACTCGAATTGACACCTCTACACAGCACGTGTAAAATTTTTAGAACAGGAAGCAATATGCTAAGATAGATTCAGAAGGATCTAGAATAGAAGAAAAATGCAATGTAAATATAGTAATTTTCACGTATCAATATGTAATTTAACCGAGCATTTAATAATATGTACTACCTTGGCTCTTTAAAGTTTCCGACACTAACTATTTGCACGCAAATTAACACAATTGGAAAAAGAATATTTTTGTGGTGGTGCGTGTAAGAAAAAAGGTGGATACGGAAGACAATTAAATGAGAAAAAGTGGGTGGGTGTAAGAAAGCATAGTTCAGAACGTGTGCATCTGAATCATGGTACACTAGTGCGTTTTTAGACAAGTTTTGTATGGAGTAACTTGGAAAGTAGAAGTGAATTACATTAACCTGTTCCCCTGTAGCAAACATACCATATTCTAATTAATAACACTAATATAAATGGAAACTATCAACAAAGTGAAAAAAATAGGGATTGCTTTCAATTAATGTATATCCTAACACTGTTTGTGAGCATAAAAAGAATATGATCTTTTAACAGCAGAAAGAAACATGGTAGAAAAGAAGAATTAATAAATACATAAATACATAAGCAAACTATACATGAAAATTTGACATATACCAAGTTGCATTAGAAATGTTCACTTATTTTATTTATGCAATTCACACATGACTTTTTTAAGCATCACAACTATAGCTAGTTGCATTATTATTTTGCGCTCAACTATATAATAATCCCATAAAAGTATTTTATTAAAAAGGCATCGGTCAACAAGTTACATATAGTTTATAGAATTTTCATACACCTTAGTAAATTATTAACTATGAAACAATTCAAATAAGACAGCACGAGTACCAATAAAAAATTTGAAACCTCCCATATTGAATTTAAAAATATACTCCATTCTTTACTTAGAAGTTACTGTAGTTACTATAGTAGCATTCCTACTGTGCCACTACTAGTACTAAGTGATGAGAAGATGATAGAAATAACACAAATATGGGGTATTATGAAGAGTCACACAATGAGTAACTACTATAAATTGATTATTGTAAGACCAATCATCTTTCTCAAAATGCTAAAATCATTTGTCGGGGGTAAAAAGAGTCACAAAAGTCAATGATGTAAAATGGGTAAGACGGAAATGACCAGCTAAATTAGTTAACATCTATCATCGGTAATAAATCTTAAATAAATAGTATCATGCAATATGACTGGGGACAACATCAAATGAATCGTTCAGATGTTATGGAAGCACTGCTGTTTAGACACAAAAGAAAGTACCTTCTCATGGCTTTTCTTTTTTTACCCAAAAGGCTTATAAAAATCCAAATTTCCAAAAATGGCATACAATAAGGAATCAAAGTCAAACTCAGTATAACAGGATCTTCTATTAAAATTCATCGAAATGATAAAATTCTTTTTTTAATCTATTTAAAACCTAAGCAAAAAAACATTTACTTGCATTTCTCCAACAATCAACCTCATATATATAAATATACCAACACACTAACATTGCTGAATTAAGATGACCAACACACCAACATAGCTAAATAAAATGACGTTGCCAACACACCAACATTGCTGAATTAAGTTGTTCAATTTAAAAAAAAACACTACTGCATTTATATAGGTAAAACTAAACTATTTTTAAAAGTTCTTTCTGTTTAACTGTTTTGATTTGACTGCGACAATTTTACACAACAAGTTGAAACAATAAGAACTATTAGAAATAGATAACTCTACATTAAAAATAGATCTCAATTCCCAAAATATAATAAATTCATACTCTATTTGCCAAAAAAAAAAAAGAACAATTCAACAAAACATACTCAAAATAGAGCACAACCGTTCGACGTCATCGGGACGGGGGATAAACCCGACACCACCATCGGCAAACACCTCCTTACAGACGTTAAACAACGTCTGAACCGCCGCCATTTTACGATTCCGCCGTTGGTTCTTCCGGGATGACTTGCTCTTACTAGTGGTCGTTTTTTCGATATCTGTTGCTATTTTGTCACTATAATCAGGCTCAATTCCCATGAAAATAATTTCAATAAATCCACCAAATGGGTGATTTAAAATTTTCTTTAAAACCCAAAATTTTAATCTGGGCTACCAATAAATTAACTCATTTTTTTAAAAAAAAATGGTGTTATGAAAATCCCAAGAAAAAAAATTAAAAATGGTTGTTTTATTTATTTATTTATTTTTGTACTAGTTTGTAAGTTGCCAAAAAATGAGGAAGATCAAGTACAAAAAAAAAAGTAAAAAAAAAGAAAATTTTTGATGTGAAATTTAAGAACAAAGTTGTTGACACCGTAAGAAGGAGAAATTGAGGAAGAAGAAAGAGTATAAAAAGGGGTGATTTTTTAGGATGGATAACAATAACAGTTGGTTTTTTTAGGAGAGAGAAAACCATGGGCTATTCAATTTTTCCAGTGGACTGTTTTAATACCAGATTTTTTTATTAAATTGGAAATAATCTTGACCTCTTTATTAGTATTGATTTTGGATTTTCTTACACTATTAAGGAAGTAAAAATAATTTAGAAATACTACTTTAAATTCCAAAATATTACCTTCATAAAGAGGAGTTACATCATGGGGTTTGAATTTTCTTAATGTTCTACCCCTTGTGTTGGTTGTTTTCTCATCTATCTATACTATTCACTTGGACACTATTATCTCTGACATTAATGCATTTTAAGGTTTTTTTTACTTCTAAATTAGGGTAGATTAAAATTCTTCTCTTTACCATATTTTTGAAAAAATCATGTCAAATTATTTAATACGGAGTACTCAATATTTTTTTTTAAAAAAAATGAAAAGTATTAATATTTTGCATTATTCATATAAACCACTTTGACTCGTAGGTATTAGTGATTTATACATAAGAAAGCTATAGTTTAATTTTTAATTAATACTTGTTGGCATCATCTCAATGAATAGTTAATAACGTTCAATTGTTATAAGTTTTATTTATTAATAATAAAAGATATTGTTGGTCAAAATTTTATATTGACATACGTACCTGAAATAAAAAAACGGAGTACTAATTAATGATATAATTATTTTTTATAAGTGTTGCATGAGATAAAAGTTTTCTCGAACTAATAAAATTTCTTTTTTATTTAAATGTTTTTATTTGATTGACCATAGATGTCAATGTAGAATTTTGGTACTTATACCAATGCAGAATATTGAAAAATAATATCTTTAATTTTTAAAATTGGACGTTGTGATTTAATGAATTAAATAATTTTTAAATGCTAAAATTACTTATAATTCATTTTCCTTATTTTAGGAAGTTCATTTCAAAATTTTCAAAGTTAACTATTATATTTGATTAATTTCCAAATTAATTTATGAAATTCATTTTTTTATTATTAATAAAATTATAGATCAGAAAAATAAAATAAATTAAATTATTTGTCAAGAAATAATTAAATTGATTTCAATTAATACTAACACTAAAATATAATTCAAAAATTATTAAATCTTAACCATTCATTTAAAAAAAAAAAGTTATGTTTGCCACTTTCAAACTTCAACCACAAAATCATCCTTATTCATAAATTTGAAATACTCCCTCCATCTTTCTTATAAAAAAAATCCCTCCATCCCTTATTTTTTTGCCCTTATAAGTGAACTTACTTTAAATTTTAGCTGAAAAAGTTTATGAAAGAGAAAAGTGGTGAGACTAATGTACTAGTTGTGAGGGTAAAAGTGTGATCCCTAGAAAACTAACATGCAGAAAACTTAAAGAGACTGGCTAAAAAGAAAAACAAAACAAATATAAAGGGACGGGGAGTATAAGGGTGCGTTCGATTCACCTGATTTTCACTTATATGAACTTAACTTAACTTAACTTATTTGAACTTACCTAAACTTACCTTAACTTTATTAAACTAATCTTATCTTATTAAAACTTATTTTAGTTGTTATTTGAACTTGGGCAACCCTTATCTATCAGAATTTATTTTAAATTAAACTTATCTGAACTTATTTTTCCTAAACTTAACTGAATTTATTTGAACTTATTAGACCTAAAATAAGTAAAAATAAGATGAACATAATAGACCTAAAAAGTTCATATTTAAAAGTTACATTAAGATAGTTCTAACAAATACCCATATGACCATATTTTTCTTACTACTTCTACTATTCCATTAATAAAGGTATCAAGTTTGACATCCCTAAATATAAGTAATTCCATTCAAATATATGTAATTACAAGTATATGATAATTAAAATTTATAAAAACGTCGATATTATAAAATCAATAGTAATACTTATCCAACAACATTTTTCATGATAACATTTATTTATAACATGCATGTTATTCCCTCCATCCTTTAATTACACGGGAATTAAGGAACTTGAAATATCCTAAGAGCATCCACAATGGCTAGCTACATGTACATGTAGTTTTGGGTTGTCACATCATAAATCTCCAAGCTACATGATTTAAGCTACAACCTTTACAATAGTAAGCCACATTCTTTTATACTCCCTCCATCCCATAATACTTGACACAGTTTCCATTTACCTCCGTCGTACAATTCTTGAAACATTACTACAAATAGAATAAGACCCCTAATTAAAAAAAAAACCCACATTTTCTCTCTCATCACCTACCCCACTCTCACCCTACTTTGTTGTTTTCTTACACTATAAAAATACAAAAGAGAATAGTTTATACAATAAACAAATATTTTGAATGGACCCACTTGTAGTTTTCTTAAACTACATGTCCACCCCAACATCCCAAGTATTACAGAACGGAGGAAACATAAATAAATAATAAATAAATAAACAAAGAAAGAAATACATAAAATATATTAAACAAATAAATATTATAACATTGGGTGGAGTGAACTACATAGCTCTTTAGAGCTATGTAATTTGGGTTAGCTACAAGAGGTTGTAGCTCCACAATGGCTAGCATGTAGCTATAATTGCTAGCAGGTACTTATGCATAACCATTGTGGATACTCTTAAAACCCATGATTGAGAAGTACAAAGGGAATAAAAAGCCATTTATTATTGTTAATTTGAATAAAATAAAACAGAATGAAATTAAATGCTTGCACATGTCAACAATCCTTTACGAAAAAAAAGACCAATGATATTTGTTTATGAAAAATAAATGGACCAATCAAATTCATTTAATATGCTGCATATGGATTGCAATTGTTCAAATGGGGAATGAGGAGGAGAGAGAATAAAATATATTTGTGCAACCATTAAATGCCAAAAGCAGTAAAAAAAATAGTGCCACATCATACTTATTTGGGGAATATTGTGGGGACATTTTGGAAAATAAATTTGGAGAATAAGGATAATTTGGTAAACAAATCACTTACTAAAAAAGAATATAGGCATCTAATTTTAAAATCCTAAACAAGGAAAATAGACATCTAATTAAGGGACAGATGGAGTAGTAAAAAACTATAGCCAAATTAAGTAAATAAATAATGAAAATGGTCAAAGTGTATGCCAACTATTATGGAATGGGAGAAGTATAAAAAAGTTATTAATGTTAATTAAAGTGGAATATGTAAATGGTGTAAAAAGTCAAAGTTAAGAAATTAAAAATACGAAGGAATTGAAGTACATTTTAATATTATATCAATCTCCAATCATGATCCTCACTCAAACCCAATAATATTTTTCTTATAATTTTAATAAATTATATTATTATTAACTCTATTATGTTTACCTAAAATTTTTGAATTCCCCAAGTACCCACTTATATTTTATAATATTATAGTTAAGCAATTATCTCACAAAAATTATTATGAATGCAAAGAAATAAATGAAGCAATCGTGAAAAAGTCAAAAAACAAAAACTAAAATGATGATGAAATTGATATAAACGAATGCATTTTTTTTAGCTCAAAATTTCAGATTTAGGCCCTGATCTCTTCACCTTAAAGTAAAAATAATTTCAGTTCAATAAAAATAAGTCCAGTTCAGTAAAATTAATTTCAGTTTAGTAAAAATAATTTCAGTTCAGTAAAAATAAGTTCAGTTCAGTAAAATTTAGTTTTCTTAAAGAAGAATTATAATAGAAAATCAGTAAAAATAATTCCTGTTCAGTAAAAATAATTTCAGTTCAGTTAAATTAAGTTCAGTTCAGTAAAAATAATTTCAATTCAGCAAAATTAAGGTGAACAGGGCCTTACTAGAGAAAGAAAGAATGAGAAGTAAATGAAGATCTTATTTAGAGGAGAAATAAAGAAGATGCCTTTTTTAGGTTAAGGATCACGTGATAGGATTTCGGTGTAGAATAAGGGTCTATTCTCTTCAGATTATTTTCAATTCAGTTCTGTTTAGTTTATTTCAGCTCCAATGAGTTCAATTCAGTTCAGATCTTAATTTCCTTATCTCATAAAATATTCAGTTCTGTTCTGTTCAATTCAGTCAATCAGAACATGCCCTAACACTAATGTACACAGGTCCATACAAGCAATTTATTTCTCCATTTCGTTTTTAGGCTAAATTAGAAAATAACACCTGTTAAAAGACCTAATTTTGTTTTTAACACCTTAAGATTTCGAAGTTTAATTATAACACCTGTTAAAAAATAAAAATTTTGCTTTCACCACCAGATAACAGAAACTGTGACGGAATTTTTTGGTGGGGCCCACATAGTCGTTTACCCTCCAAATTCCATCCCCTTCAATTCGAATTTATCTTCTCTGTCATTTATTACCACCCAACTAATTTTGCTTCATTGAATTTCGTCTGCAAATCTTGAACAACCAAAATTACTGCGAACATTCAAACCCTATACTGATTGTTGTGATTGAGAAATTGAGTTGGAAGAGGAGGTGTCAATATTGGAGCGAAACAAGTCAGCGAGATTCCGTCAGCCATTTCGAACATCCAAAAAGCTGGGACTTTTTCGTGGATTCTGACAGCAACAGGAGTAAGATTCCAATACAGGTACCTTTCGAACCCTTTAAAGTAGTTTTCAACAAGTACTGTGTGCTGCATTATGCCATTTGTGTGGGTGCAGTAGGGTAATTTGGGAAAAAAAAATTAGGAACCCTAAGAACAGTAAAATGGGGTAATTTGTAATTAAAGTTGAATTTGATTAAATTAAGTATGATTTGGTGTAATGTGTGAATTATTTAGTTTAAATCATTGATTTTGTTGACTGTTGACTGGTTTGTCATTGTGTTGGTTTAAATATGTTTGATTTTGTTGATTAAAGTATTGCGGTTGACTGTGTAATGGGGTTAGCTATGTTGGGTTTTATTGATTTGCTTTGCATTTGTTTATTAGGTAGAAAAATGGCCGACAACGAAGATGGATTAATTGATATAGTATTTAGAGTAGGGGGTGCTTTTGTTACTAAACAAGTGTCAAAATCAAAGCATTTGCTTTGTTGGTGTGGTGGGTTATGTTATTGGAGGAGGGATGTGGTAGTGGATAAGATAGATTTGCATTATTTGAGGGTAGCTGCTGTGCATGGGTTTGTG